CCATATTATTCACATATTGAGTCCCAACAGCAACAGTGTAGGGATGAGCACGACAGTACAGGTGAGCATGAAGGATGGACAATCTTCGGGGATTTTAGATTGGGAACACAACAAAACACTAACACTCGGGGATTTGGGAATAGTCAGACGCCTGCTAATATCGATGATTCGTTTTTAGATCGAATCAATGAATTGTTAAACGAATTCAATCAATGGCACCAGCGTGACCAAGAGGAACAATAACGTCGTCTATCATTTTATTTTTAGATCATATGTTACTAATTTTATGCTTTATTGTAGTTCATGTACGTTGATATACTTATTCCATGATAATTATATGTTTATCCTTTTGTGTGATGTAAATTAAATGCTGAATGGCGGTTCATGTAGGGAAAGAGCATATCAATATTCGCATATTCATTCAAAAACATGAAAATTCTTAATGGAGTACCCTCATTTCTTATTGAATTCCTAAAAAAAAATATTTATAATGAATTTTAATAATTTTTTCCAATTTTTTTTAAGCTTTATTCTGACCGATTCACCCGATTCCCGATCCGAATCGCCGATTCACCGATCCGAATTGATTTTTGGGAAGCTCGATCCGAATCACCGATCCGTTTTTTAAACCATTGGTCAGGACCCAAAAAATTTGGGATTTGACACTTTAAAAAAGGGTAATAAACTAAAAGAAAAGTTTATATACGGTAGCATCCTTACGTCGATAGCTAAGGATGCAGGCTTATAAGCCATCCAATATTTTGGATGGTTCAGATTTTGCATTTGCATGTCATATGTTATTACTTCCAACTGAAAGCAACCAGTTACGCTTCCAATTGGGCGTCTATTTCTCTCCACCGTACGCCTCTCTTTTTCTCTCCACCCTATGCCTCTCTGTCTCATCAAAACAATGGTGGTTTTGCATTGCATGATTATCTCATATGAGTCTAGATCATTATTACAAACTGAAAAAAGTGAACTTTTGCAAGTGAAAGCTCTTTAGTGGTTTTTAAAGATGGTTTTTAGTAGCATCCATGGTGGTTTTTTAAGTTCCCTTTCTCTTTTGCCTTTTTGCTAAGTTCATGGTGGTTTCGCACAAATCCCATTTGTATATTAAAAAAAGAAAAAACAAATTTTTTGTGATTTCTGGTTTCCAATAAGGAACACCCGGTGGGGGCTTCAATAACACTCAGGGATATTCTTCCGTAACTTCACCTTCATGCCATTGGTGAGAACAAGCCAAATCCACCAACCAAGACCAACTATCTTTTTCACAACACCTTGAAGACCCACAACATAGATTTGGTACGAGTATTGTTGGCGTGTCTTGAAAGAACATAGAGCTCATCTTCTTCACTGGCTTCTTCCTTCTTAAATTCACAGGCCTCACCATTAGAGGCCCCCTCCATCCCTTCTTCAAGCATCGCAAAATGCATGACAAAAATCACTGAAATTCAACAAAATTACAGAGAAAATTAAACAATAATGGTGGAAGAGTGCAGCAAAAATTGAGCACTCGGCACCTCACTTCCCCCTCTCTCACCAAACACTTTCTCTTTCTAGAACTTTTTTCTACGTCTTTTCTTTGTTACTTCCTAATCTAAAACAAAGATGGATGCAAATTTGAGAGAAAATGCATGTCGGATATTTTCTCTCTCTACTGCAATCCAGCTACGGCTCTTTCTCTCTCTAGTTAAGGGAAAGAAACTTGGGCCACAATCTCAGCCATTGAAATGTTTGAACGGTGTAGATTGTTTCAACCTTACCTCTACAGGTACGAATACATCTGTATGCCAATTGCACCCATAAACTAATTGATGCATTAAATTTTAAGGGCGAGGTTTGTATAAGGTGCTCAACTTATATTGTACAAGTAAGATGCACCTTCAAAAATGTAGTTTTGGTGTTTAGAACCTCACGATGGCTTGAAATTTGAAGTTCAAGCATAATTATGAAATTTAAAAGTTTAAGGACAGCAGATTGAGCATATCTATAAGCACTTCAAATATTAAAAATAAACATTTTAGAGAACTTACAAGATGAACTACTTAACGACTTGAAATTCTTTATCTTCTTTATATCATACATTTAAAGGTTAAAATGATCAATCAGAAAGTTTGCCAGCTTCAGAACATCCTTTACTACTAGATTGCTACCATAAATAAACTTTTCTAAATTTTAAGCAGGTAGAAAAAAAAAAATCTCAAAAAATGCTACGGACTCCTTCATTTTTGGATAGTCATAGTTAAGTATTTAAGAACACCATGGATCCAATTGTTTCATTTATTATTTAGTGATTTTGAGGTGGATCCTTAACTTCAAGTTGAAAATATTCTTAAGTACCTATTAGGGAAGCAAATTTAAAGTGTGCTCCTACATGGGCGTCCTATATGCATCAAATGAAATTTTCATAATAAAAATAGAGATTGTCTACAAAGAAGTCATTTATCTTTTCTACATGGGGGTCATAATCGTTCTTATTCTTTAATTTTAAAACGGATAGTTGTCAGAATGTCATTGAATTGACACAAAGTTCCAAAAAAAAAAAAAAAATTGAACTTTATAACTCACCCCAAACCATCCAATTTGACATTTATGTATAGAAAAGATAAATGGTCCCTTTGTAGACAATCCCGTAAAAATAAAGTACTAAATTTGTTGGCCCTTGTTTTCAAAATGCTACTAGTGCTCCAAAGGTTGATGAAACAATTAGTAAGATAAAATATGTATAGCCTGCAAAATAATTGGTGATATTTTGGTGGAATTATCGCATGGACTAAAATCTCCTCA